GGAATCAATATCTTCTCTTATCTCTCAAGTATGCTAAGATTGTTTTTTAATTTTCTTTTCCTTCCAAATCCTCCACCAGCACCATTTGTTTTTCTATTATGTCAGAGGCCTTCCTCAAATGTCTGGCAGTTGTGGGTCTGTACATGTAGGAGTGAGGTATCAAAGAGCTGCTCAGAAGCTCTGTGAGTCCGGGATAAACTGGCTGGGTTGTTTCCTGGTGGAACCCACCATGTCAGTGTCTTTAGGTCTTTCCTTTTGGGGTGGTCAGACTTCCCAGATAAAGATCTTCTAGTCTCTTGCCTGGAGGATATAAACCTGGCTGGCAGCATTCCATTTGCCCTGTAGGGTGTGGGATGAGGGGAGCTCACCATTCCTTATGTAATTTACTTAACCCCTTGCATTCAGCATGATAGATCTGCTTCCACCCTTGCCCAATGTACATATTTCAGTACAGAGACATTTTTTAGCCAATTGCAAAAACAAACTTCCAGTTTACTGCCAGGTTGAAGGGGCAGATAATCAGCTTCATGGAGTACAAAGATATAATGGCTTCTTTTTTTACCTTTTAATTATGGAGGCCTTCAAACATCCACAGTAGGGAAAAAAAGTATAACAACCCTCCACAGACCCTTCTCCAGCCATCATCGCATTGCTAGTTCTGACCCATATGTATGTCTATCTCTTCCGCTTCCCTTATTCCATATTACTTTGAAACAAATGCCAAAAATCATTTTATCTGCAATCATTCAGTACATACCTCTTAAAGATAGAGACATATTTAATGAATGTAACCTTGATTATAAAATCTAACAAAAATGAACAATTCTTTAATATTATCAAACCTCCACTCATTGTTCAAATTTCCAATTATCTTATTAATGTCAGATGTGTTTTATTTTTAGATTTGTTTGTTGCAATCAGAATACAAATAGAGTCTGTCCACACATTCTGGCTGGCCAATATGTCTTTTCTGTCTCAATCTATAGCTTCCCCCATGTGTAATTTTTAAATTGGAATGTACTAGATGAAGATACAGATGTGTTTGTCCTAGTTTCTCACAGTTTGAATTTTGCTGATTGCATCTCTGAAGTGTTGATTATCATTTTTCTGTCTTCTGTATTTTCTGTAAATTGGTAGTTGGATCCATGTTTGCTTCTTTCCATTGTTCTCTCTTCAAGTTTGCTGATTCCTTCCTCTCTCTACTCCATTCTGTTGTTGAGTCCATCTGGTAAAGTTTTAATTTCAGTTATTTTTCAGTTCTAAAATTTCCATTTGATTCTTTATCTCTCCTATTTCTTTGCTGAGATTCACTGGCCCTACGCTATTATTTAAATGATTTCTTTTAAAATGTGCACACATGGTAGAGTGACAGAATGTGGTAGTCAGCCTCCAAGGTGGCTCCCCAAAATATCTACATCCTAGTCTTCACACCCTGTGTAGCCCCTCTGACATTCTACCAGGGTTAGTTTATGTACCAACAGAATATGGCAGGAGTGATGGCATATCACTCCTGAGATTAGGTTATAAAATACTGTAGCTTCTGTCTTGGGCATGCTCTCTCTCCCATGCAAACATGCTCAGATCACTTGCTTTGGGAGAAAGTGAGCTGCCCTGTGGTCAGGAGATTCAGGCAGTCGTTGGAGGCACCCATGTGGTGGGAAACTGGTCTCCAGGCAACAGCCATGGAAGAACTGAAACCTACTACTTATCACATAAGTGACTTTAGAAGCAATCCTCATCTGAGCCTTCAGATGAAACAGGAGTTTCAGAACCACCAGCTCAGCTGTCTCCAGATACTGGCTCACTGAAACTATGCACTAAGTATTTTATTTTATTTTATATTTATTTCAGAGAAGAAGGGAGAGGGAGAGATAGAAACATCAATGATGAGAGTCATTGATCAGTCCTGACAGGGAATCGAACTGGTGACCTCTTGGTTCCTGGGTTGATGCTCAACCACTGAGCCACGCTGGCTGAGGTGCACTAAGTATTTTTAAAAAGCTGTTTAGTTTTGAGAAAATGTATTATGTAGCAGATAACTAGTACATTGGGGTCCCTGCTCAACTACTTACTAAAAGAGTCAGGACAAGTTGAATAAGCTCATGATCGCCAGTTTCTTTACTTGGAAATTGATGACCATTTTTGCCCCATCTACTTTTCAGGGTTGCTGAATCTCACACAAGATAAAACATTGTACAACTATTAATTTTTCTAACCTAATCCCCCTATTTTACAGATGAAAATGGGAAGCCAGAAGGAATGAAAAGAACCGACTGATGAGGCATTAAGGTACAGAGGAATTACATGACTTTGCCAGGCTTCAACTATTTAGAAAAGGAGCAAGGACTAAAGTATCACATGCTATTATCATTAAATAGTCACTCTATGTTTCAGGAAAATAGTAGTAAGTTATGCACTGTATGTGGTTAACTGAGAGAACTGCATTTCCTCTATGGCACATAACAAATGTGGGATAAACCAAGAGGGCCACAGTTGTTCCATCGTAAAGACAGCATACAGCCAGTTACTCCTTCTTTCCACTCTTTGTTGCTCTGCCAGTCATCCCAACATGCTGAGTCCAAGCGTATGGGCACCCAGCCAGGTGACTAACACCATCTCTTTGCACCCAAACCATGTACAATAGGCAAACAGCTCCTTTCTTTATAACCTTGCTAGGCAAGTTAGTATCAGTACCTTTAAACAAGAAATACTCCTTTGTCATGCAATTTTAGTAAAAAAAAAATAGTTGACTGACAGGAGAAAAAAGAGGCTAACAATATTTTGAGCCAACAAGGGCAGACCATTTGAGCGACAGTGATTAACTTTTTAATTAAAAAACAAATTTTTCCCCCTCAAAGTCGTATTTTGGTAAACCACCTCACCTTCTGCTTTCCCCTCAATTTCGGTTTACTGATGGGAGAAAGTGATGTTTTAAAATGTTGAAAATGAACCAGATAAATAAAAACATGTATGTTGACTCAAACTGGAAGGGAAAGTGCAAACATAAAATAGTTGTGTTGGACTAATAAGGACCACACCCCCATTCTTAGTTTTGTTTTTAATTTAAAAATACTTATAAATAATATAGATATACTATGTGGTAACATATTTTATATGTAATTTGTACTATATATTTACATTGTTTTTAATTTAAAAGTTCAAATTTTATACAATGTCTGTCTTGACAGAATGAACTCGAATAGCTTTTTTGGGTTTAATATTTAAAATTATATTTTAAATTTTCATCCTCATGTGTATCAGTTAAGATTCTTTAGCTGCAAGCAACAGAAACTAACTGGTTAAACAAGAAGAGAATGTATTGAAAGAGTATGGGAGGGAGTATAGGACCTGTAGGGAGGCCTTAAGAAGCAGGAAGCAGGCAGCCTCTAACAGCATCCTCTCCACTGAACCTAAGGTCCTGCCACTGGAGAAAGTGAACATGAGCCAACCATTTGTGTTTTCTGTCCTTGGGTGTAAGAGGCAATATCCTTGCAGAATAAGATTTTTGCTTGGCAAAAGATGTGCCATGCTAGCATGTCCTGAGCTGATGAACTGAAGAGGGAGTTGAGAGGAATCTCCCAGGTCCCCTCCATGTCCACGTAGGTGAGCAGAACACGATGAGGACCCCAACGCACCAATGCAGCCCTCAGCAGCAGGCAGAGAATCACCCCCAAAAGAGATAATACTGATGGAAAGGCCCAATGTCCACTAAATTGTAGATTTGTTCTCACCACTGAATGAGAAGTTTGTGAAACATGAACTGTCTTCTAGTAGTGTTTTAGATGGACGCCCACACATCTTTCCTCATCGTTATCAAGGACCAGTGAAGACATGCTTTGGGTATGACATTTTGGTGTGATGTTTTATGTAACTTGATATAATACCTACACTCAAATTACATGAATCAAGTCCAATCCTCCTTTAAACGTACCCCGTGTCCATTACCAATGCCTAGTACTGTGTCTAGATCCATTTCATCCCAGCCACTCCCTCTCCTTTTCTCCTCCTTCACGTGGCCCACACAGCTTTCGCTGAAACATGTTCTATATTAATGGTGTAACCTAAGCTGTGTATATGCGCACACACGTTTTCTTCCATACTTCTACTATCCCTGACTTTGACAATTACCAGACCTGTCTTTTCAGGCAGACTCCTGGGAGTGATTTGCAGAACCAGGGGGCTAATCTGGCTCAGACTGCCCGGGACGGGCTGAAGCGACCTAAAAGACCCTTTATTGACCTCCTCACAAACTTTTCTCATTATACCTTCATTATAATATGAAAATCTCCTCCTAGGGGTGGAGATTTCCCACCATTTTTAAACATGCGATGTATGTATAGGCATGTTTGCTAATTGCATAGGTGCAAGAATGTCCCCACCCATACATGTGATGACGAAGGTTACCTTGTGTTTATGTAGGATTTCCAAAGACACATGCAATCCTTTGTTTGGGGACGCACTGCTCTGGGAGCAATCCCCAGTGTGTTCCTTGCTTGCTGGCTTGCAATAAAGTTCATTCCCATAAAATCTTCTTGGAGTTGTCTTTTGGCTGGCAACTACTGAATAATTAGACCCAATTTGGGTCTGGTAACAATAGAGATTGCATAAAAATGAAAAGGGAAGGGAACCCACATGTTTAAGAAATACTAGTTAAATCAAATCTACAAGTCAAAGTTCATCTAGATAGCCAATAGACCGTTCTACTCCATTTTGAAGATCTTACTTTACGATCCTTAAAAATAACCATTAAACAACATATTCTAGGACATGAATTCCACGTGGATTTTTAAGACACAAGTGGTTTAACTGCACTTATCTTTATAGAGGTGAGAGCGTGAAAAATTTTATTAGCATTCAGTTTTAAAAGCATTATACCCGTGATACACCAAAATATAGGAGTGCTGCTTCTTAAAGAAGTTACCCTTTAGGGTTTGGTCCTTGGTTTTAGAAGTTGTGGAGCTTTGGTAGTTTTATTTTAAGTGCTTTATGCATTCATGATCTTAGTCCATGGATTGTAATATTGGTCCACTTTCTTCTTCCTTCAGGGGAGAAAAGACACTATTATACCTCCAGGCTCTCAATACATTATTACCACCCCATTAACTCCTTAATATCTGCAGTGGATTATTATTTGCTCTAAATTAGTCTCAGGGTTCCCTCAGAGAATAATTTGAAGGAGGGAAGCATGAAATATTTCTTGAGATGGATTTTAAATGCAGTTTTTTGGAATGTGTGATAAAACATACATATCAGAAAAATTAACATCTTTGATCACTTTTAAGTGGACAGTTCAGTGGCATTAAATACATTCACATGGCTGTGCAACCACATCATCCATCTCCAGAACTTTTTCATCTTTCCAAACCAAAACTCTGTATCCATTAAAAAACCCCATTCCATTCTGCCTCTCAGCCACTGGAAACCAACACTCTACTTTCTGCCTCTATGAGTTTGACTGCTCTAGATCCCTCATGTAAGTGGAATCATACAGTATTTGTACTTTTATGTCTGGCTTTTTATTAATTAATTTATTTAAACCTTTATTATTGAGAATATTACAGAAGTCCCCCCCCCTTTTTTTTTCTCCCATTGACCCCCTCCATCTGGTTCCTGCCCTGCCCCAGGCCTTTACCACCCTACTGTCTGTATCCATGGTAATGCATATATGCATATAAGTTCTTTGGTTAATCTCTTCCTGGTCCCTCTCTCCCCTTCCCTCTGAGTTTCATTGGTCTATTCCATGTTTCCATGCCTCTGGTTCTATTTTATTCATTAGCTAATGTTGTTCATTAGATTTCTTGTTCATTTATCTTGATTTTTAGATTTAGTTGTTGATAGATATGCACTTATTGCACTTTATTGTTCATATGTTTGATCTTTTATTAGTCTCCTCCTCCCCTTCTTCCCCATCTCCTTCTTCTTTAAGAAGACCCTTTAACATTTCATGAACTACTTGTTTGGTGGTGATGAATTCCTTTAGATTTTCCTTGTCTGGGAAGCTCTTTATCTGGCCTTCAATTCTAAATGATAGCTTTGCTGGATAGAGTAATCTTGGTTGTAGGTCCTTGCTTTTCATCACTTTGAATATTTCTTGCCACTCCCTTCTGGCCTGCAAAGTTTCTGTTGCAAAATCAGCTGGAAGTATTATAGGAGCTCCCTTGTAGGTAACTGCTTTTCTCTTGCTTTTTTTTTTTAAATGTTTTATTGGTTTTTTTACAGAGAGGAAGGGAGAGGGATAGAGAGTTAGAAACATCGATCAGCTACCTCCTGCATACCCCCTACTGGGGATGTGCCCACAACCAAGGTACATGCCCTTGACTGGAATCAAACCTGGGACCCTTCAGTCCGCAGACGGATACTGAGCCAAACCAGTTAGGGCTCTTTTGCTGCTTTTTAAGAGTTTCTTTTTAACCTTTTGAATTTATTTTTTTAATTAATTTTTTATTGTTTAAAGTATTACATATGTCTCCTTTTCCTCTCATCGACCCCTCCCTGGCCACTCCCACCCCCTAGGACAAACCTTTTGCATTTTAATTATGAAGTGTCTTAGTATGGCTCCTCTTGTTTGGGACTCTCTGTGCTTCCTGGACATGTATGTCTATTTCTTTCACCAGGTAAAGGAAGTTTTCTGTCATTTTTTCTAATAGGTTTTTGATTTCTTGCTCTCTCTCTTCTCCTTCTGTACCCCCATGATGTGAATGCTGGTATGTTTGTAGTTGTCTGAGAGGCTCCTTATATTATCTTCATATTGTTGGATTCTTTTTTTTTACTGTTCTGTCTGGGTGTTTTTTTCCTTTCTTATATTCCAAATTCTTGATTGGTTTCTCAACATCCTCTACTCTACTGTTGATCCCCTGAAAATTATTCTTTCAGTTAGTGTACGTTTCATTTCTGACTGGTCCCTTTTTATATTGTTGATGTGCTCACTAAGCTCCTTGAAGTTTTCATTAAGTTCCTTGAGCATCCTATAAGCATTGTTTTGAACTCTGTATCTGGCATTTTTCTTGCTTCCATTTCATTTAGCTCTTTTTCTGGAGATTTCTCCTGTTTTTGTTTTTTTTTCATTTGTGAATTGTTTGTCTCCACATTTTGGCTGCTTCCCTGTGTTTGTTTCTATGTATTGGGTAGATTTGCTATGTCTCCTGGACTTCGTAGAGTCACCTTGTGTAGTAGGTGTACTTTAGGGCCCACTGGCCTCCCACGTCACCTGAGCTGGGCACTCCTTTGTGAATTGGTGCAACCCTGTGTGAGCTGTGTGCACTGTCCTATTGTAGTTGAGCTTTGATTTATGTTGGCATCACTGGGAGGGGTTGACCCTCAGGTCAATCAGTTGCAAGGATTAGTTGCAACTACAGCTGAAGAGCTATGTGCAGGAGATGCCCCTACGGAACAGGACTTGCTTCAGTGGGGTTTTGGTGCTCATTGAATCCCCCCCTTGAGTGTGTCACTCATGAAGGTGGTAGAGTTGTAATTGGCATGGTTGAAGTTAACCACTGGGTGCATTGGCTCTGGGGCCTCCCAGGAGGTGCAAAGTCAGCCTCCGCCTGTGCCCTGCCTGGAACCACCCAGCATGAGCTACAGTGCTCTGCAGATGGCTGCTACTTGTGTTGAGCTTGGAGGTGTTCAGGAGAGGCCAAACTGTAAACCAGCATGGGCTACTGCTAATGTTAGACCTGGGGCCACTTATTGATAGGTAGGGGGCACATTGATGCTGGCTACTGCTTGTTTGAGAGATTTTAGGAATGTCCAAAGCATGAGGCAAAAGAAGCCAGTTATATGGAAAAGCCACTGGAAATGGCTTGGATAAAATTGCAAGTAGGGAGGGACAGAGTCTCAGGGAATCACCAGGGCAGGGTGAAAAGTGTGAACCAGGTTGATGGAGATTTACATATGGCAAAGACTGTCAGCTCTGTGGCAGGGAGGTCTCAGCAAAGGAACACTGGCCTCTGCCAGCACTTCTGTCTGGGAGAAAGCTGCTCCTCCAGCTCTTTCCCTGATTCCAGACAGGTTAGTTCCTTCCTGAGGTTCCTTTCAAGCTGCTGCCCCAGTCTGGAGCTCAGAGGAAGTTCAAGTAAGCCCATGTGTGGGCCCTTTAAGAGGAATTGCCTGGGACTCTCACATTCTCAGTGTCACTCAGCCACAATCCCCGTTGGTTTTTACAACTTGAAGTTGTGGGGGCTTGTCTTCCTGGCACTGGAACTCTGGGCTGGAGGCCTGGTGTGGGGCAGGGACCCCCTTGCTCCTCAGAGAAACCTCCATAGCCAAGATATCCCTTCCAATTTTAAACTGCCACATGTGGGGGTGAGATCAGCTGGTTCTGCAATTCCACCCCTCCTACCAGTCTCAATGTGCTTCTTTTTAAATTCCCTAGTTGTAAGACGTTAGTTCAGCTAGATTTCATGTGGTTCTGAATGGTGGTTGTTCTGTATTTCAGTTTAAATTCTGATGTGGTTGTGGGAGGCAGTAAGTACCAAGTTTACCTATGCCACCATCTTGACCTGGAAGCCTGTCTGGCTTATTTTTAAATGAAGTTTTGATACACAGGATACTAGCTTTACTGTGAGTAAGGATACAATGGGTGTAGCTCATCGAATCCCCCCCTGCCCCCCTTGAGTGTGTCACTCATGAAGGGGTAGAGTTGTAATTGGCCTGAACAGAAGTATTTGAACTGGAGCCCTTAGATGAGTCCTATGGATACAAACCCTATTTAAGGGACAAGTCTCCTAATTACAAGCTTTTCATAAAAGCTTCAAATTCAAAAGATGCTAATCATTGTTCTGGGTCTTCTCTGCTTTGAGAGCATCCTCTTGGTTCCAAACCAAGATTAGCTGCCTCTGGTTAGCACCAACCACCACCATGGTCATATTTATTGTAATGCTCTGATTTTGCTGACGAATCTAGTCTGACACCTAACAGAGTATCACTCACTCTGTTAACTCCTAGCCCCATGCTTACCTGGCCACTTAGGAACTTTGAGCTCACCTTCCTCACATAAAAATATCTAATAAAAATGCAAATCAACACTACAATTGGATACTACTTCACACACATTAGAATGGCTATGATAAAAATAAAAAGAAATAAGTATTGGTAAGATGCTGAGAAATGGGAACCCTTGTGCACTGCCAGTAGGAATGTAAATGGTATTTCCACTATTGATAACAGTAGATTATTCATAAAAAAATTAAAAATAGAATTGCCAAATGATCCAGCAACTCCACTTCAGGGTTTATACCCCAAAGAATGGGAAGCAGGAACTTTGAACAGATATTTGTACTTTCATGCTCATAGCAACAGTATTCACAATAGCCAGAAAGTTAAATAACTCGTGTCCATCGATAGATAAATGGATAAACAGAATGTGGTATATCCATACACTGGGATATTCTCTGGTCTTAAAAAAGAAGACATTTTGACATACTACAACATGGATGTACCTTGAGGACATTATCCTAAGTGAAATAAGCCAATCATAAAAGGATGCATACTATATGATTGCACTTAAATGAAGTACTTAGAGTAGTCAAACAGAGACAGTAAATATAATGGTGGTGCCCAGCTGGTGTGGCTTAGTGGTTGAACATCAACCTACGAACCAGGAGGTCAGTGTTCGATTCCTGGTCAGGGCACATGCCTGGGTTGCGGGCTCAATCCCCAGTAGGGGGTATGCAGGAGGCAGCTGATCAATGATTCTCTCTCATTATTGATGTTTCTATCTCTCTCTCCCTTTTCCTTCCTCTCTGAAATCAACAAAATATATTAAAAAAAAATAAAAATGGAAGTAGTCTGGAAAGTAAAATGGTGGCTACCAGGGCCTGTGGAATGGGGAATGGATACAAAGTTTGGTTTGGAAAGATAAACAAGTTCTGAGATGGACAGTGGTGATAGTTGCACAGTAATGTGAATATACTTTATGCCACCAGCTGTTCACTTAAGAATGGTTAAAATGCTAAATTTTACGTTATGCATATTTTACCACAATAAAAAAAAGTTTTAAAAATATGTCTAATGTTATCTGATCATTATTCCTGGCTCCTGCAGAAAACTTAGAAGTCTTTTGTAGAGTTCATCCCCAAACACCCTATTCTAGAAAGAGACAAAGATGCAGTAAACAGCAAATGGTTTTTCAAAAGCTGGGGCCTGCCTTAGTTGTCTGCATTTTTTCAATAAAGAGCCACTTTAACATCATATCCCTTCCTGTACTACTGCCCTCCCTGCAAAAGAGTCAAGTGGGAAAAAAAAGTAATATTGGAAACCAGAGGTTAACAGGACAAACTTCTAAGGGATTAGAGCAGTTTCTAGGAGCCAGAAAGCTGCTACTCAAAGGCAGCCCCTACACCACGGCTAAGTCCCGAGAGGGGCCCACCTGTCTGATCACCCACCTTCCAGCGGGAGCACAGGCACCTGCCAGGTGATCACCTGTGAGGTGGCCTGACAGGAGGTACGGACACTACTTTATACTTGGAGTCACCTACCTCAGAGAAGTACTTCTCAATAATGTGCATAGCAGTCAGGGAAACGTGACGGTTCTCATGAAATTGCAAGGTTTTGATTCTATCAACCCCACCAGGTTCCTCGATCAGAAGACACAGGTATTCCTTCTTAGAAAGCTTCTCTGCTGCCTGGGGGCAATAGGAGCGAAAGTGAGGCCTGGGCAGAAGCCTGGGGACAGGGAGCCTCACCAGTGGAACCCGACCAAAGGCTCCCTGTCCCAGAACGGGCAGTCGCAGCTTCACTTTTCCCAAAGTGATTTCAACTTGCACGCTCTTCCTCCACTTTGGATATTTATGTGATACAAATGTGTGTGTGTGTGTGTGTGTGTGTGTATAGGTTTTTCTTCATTGCAAAAATACAATATTTCTTTTGCTAAATATGCTGTCATCCATAAACAAATCACGACCACTATTCAGTAGACATCCTCTTCTAATGGAAATTGTTTTAATATAGAACATTTAAGTGTGCTATGTAAATACAGAGGTTCTGGCCCTGCACTCCCTGAAAGCCTTGAAAGATAAGACAAGAGACCCTCAGTAACAAGAGCCCCCACAGCAAGTAATGAAGTTCCTGGAAACAAAGAACACGAGGGGATCTAACCCAAATGCTGGTCGCTGGATTTACCACCCAGGGCTCTTCATTCACTCACACATGTGTACTCATATGATGGGCGAGGCACACAGAACGGAGACACAGACGTGATTTAGAGAAGGCCTTTGTAACCAACTCATGCTATCAGGAGGGACAAGTACACAAAGGCTATGGTGTAGAAAGTTTAATTTAGTAAATGATCAGAGGTTTAAATTAGAGCAGATGTACACAGGATGCTTGAAAAGTAACACGAGTCCTTCATGAGCAATACTGTGCCGGGTCAACCATAGGGTAACGGCACTCCCAAAAGAAGGAACATCGGGGACAACGTTTTGAAGGAATAAGGGCTGCATGTTATGAGAAGAGGGAATAATAGTTCAGCTAAACAGCATATCAGGATGTGGAGGAAGATGAAAAACTTGGCTGTCATATCTGGAAGGGCTCTACTTGTTATTTTGTGAGCAGTAATAAAATAACCTCCTCTGGGTCAAGTTAATTCATTAGGCCACCTCATTTACCTGATGACAGTTTGCACTGTATGTCTAAGCCTCCATGCCCTCTCGTCCTATGAGTCAGTAGATTTGAGTAAAGAAAGTAGGGCAGGAATCAACATGCTAGATTGGCTTCAGAAAGAAAACGGGGCTGTGGGCAGCAGGAGCCCTGGCCGAGCATTTTGGACCTGAACAGTAAATGCCCCAAAGTTACTTCAAAGAACCTCAACTGCATCTGCTGCCTATTTGAACTTTTTCCTGTCTCGTCTTGACCTTTCTAACCTACTGCCCCCACGGCCTTTGTCTGATCCAGGGGGTGCACAGGTCCACCAGATGGGATTTGCCCAGACTCTTCTGAGGAAAAAATCCCAAATATTTAAACGAAGCAGACGAAGTTAAACTTCTATATCCCAAATATGCTTTTACAGATTTGTTATGTCCAGCTTCGTCTATTGGCTGTCAAGTCTCTACTCTTTGTTTGTGTGACTTGCTCAAGTCTTAGTGTCTAGCTGGGCTGTGTTTCAAATCTGTTCTTGACTCAGGTCAGTTCTTTCCAAGACAGTTACATGAAAAGAGTGCTTCGAGTGAGTTTTCAAAAGGGGTTCCCTCGTGTTACTTTGAAACTTTCCAAATGGCTTAGTTGTATATAAAAAGACCGTAACCAAGATGGTCCCAGGTGACCCCTGCCTCCTGGTGTTTATGCCCTTGTGTTAGTGTGAGTGTTAAACAGGGCGGACGTGTGTAACCAATAAGATGTTGTTGAAATGACCTCCTTTAAAGATCCTAAATATATGAGGCTCCACCTTGCTTCCTTAGATCCCTTGCTCCAGAGGAAGCCGGCTGCCATCATGCAAGGACACCCAGGCAGTCCCCGGGAGAGGTTCGTGTGGTGAGAATAACCTGGCAGGCACGTGAGTGCGCCATCTTGGAAGCTGAGCCTCAGCCCCTGTCAAACGTTCGGATGAGATTGAAGCCCCCAAATGACATCTTGAACCTCCTTAGAGACCCTGAGCCAGAACCATTCAGCTAAGCTGCTCCCCGATTCCTAACCCCATAAATTACGTGAGATAATAAATGTTTGTCTTAAGTCACTAAGGGGTAATTTGTTATGTAGCAATACAGAACCAAGACAAATAGTATAAAAATAGTGTCTTACCTTACCTTTCTTTCAGAAATAAGACTTTTCTAGAATTCTAATTCAAGGCTTTTCAGTCTATTTTCCCAGTCATATAGTCGAATATAAAAGGAATTCTAGTCTGGCCTCTTAACATATATCCCTGCTAATTTATTGCTGCTCCTTCAAATATCTTATGTTTTAGTCTTCTTTTTTAAAAAATATATCTTATTACATTTTTTTACAGAGACGAAAGGAGAGAGATAGAGAGTTAGAAACATCGATCAGCTGCCTCCTGCACACCTCCTACTGGGCATGTGCCCGCAACCAAGGTACATGCCCTTGACCGGAATTGAACCTGGGACTTTTCAGTCCACAGGCTGAAGCTCTATCCACTGAGCCAAACCAGGTAGGGCTGTTTTAGTCTTCTAAAAGAGTCAGCCATGGGGCTCACTGACTATTTTTTCCCTCCTTCAAGCCTTTGATTGGTTTCCCCTCTCACTCAGATAAGTCAAAGTTCTCACAGACCTTATGTGAGCTGGCCCCTAGGTGCCCTGAGCCTAATCTCCCACCACTTTCCATCCATTCACTCTGCTCTGGCCATACCACCTTCCTTGCTCTTTCTAGAATGTTCTTCCCAGATAGCCATAAGACCCACTCACTTCTCTGAGGCCTTTGCTCAAAAGTTATTCCTCAGAGAAGTTTCTCCTGACTACTGAATAGAAGAGATCACCTTCCCCTCCTCACTCTGAGCTATGGGTGACTACCTCTTTGTCAGATAGATTTACCTCTAACTCCCTACCTGATGTGTCTGTTCCCCTCCCCACTGCTACATAAGCTCTGTGCCAGCAAGGACGTTCACCTGCCACATCCTGAGCATCGATAACAGTGCTGGGCACAAGACACTCATTTGAGAAAATGAAGATAATACCTTCTTTGATAGGCCTCTGGTTATTATTATCCATAGAATGTGTGCACAGAGGGAGGAGATAGGGGAGTTGGGGAGAAAGAGAGTCCTACTTGGGTTTTAAGAATGAAATGAAATGTCTTAAGTTTGGAGACTGCTACTGAGAAACCAACCTGTCCAGAACAGCTCACCTGGAGGAGAAAAGAGATGATGTCAAGGATGATGACAACAAATTTGGCATCTGGGATGGTGAGCAGGTTCACCAGTGGCTCCAAGACTCCAGAATAGGCCAGGTGGATCAGCTGGTGCACGGTGCCCCCGTTTGTGAAGTTAGCCATCACCCAGAGAGCCTCCTTCTGGACTTTAAACTCTCCCTGCAGAAAGAGAACATTTACATTCCTTAAAGATCCTGAAGAACTTAAATATAGGGATGCTAACTTGGTTCAGTTTCTAGGTAGGTTGGGGACAGCCCGGACTATCTGTGCAATTTAGAGAGAACACCTTGGGGACTTGAAGTCAAGAAGGAGGCAGGTAGATTCATATGGGGTTTTAGAGGGAGGTCCTAAGTTCAAACAGACTCAGTTCATTAACTCAGATTATGGGAAAAACAGAAACAACATCAACCAATCCAGGTAATCAACATAGATTAGGAATTACGCTTGGAATTTTACGTTTTAGGGGCCTATGTTTACATTTCTTGTCTTTTTGCCCTAGTGAAAATCTGGATAAGAAGCTCCATAGCTACAAAGCTAAGCACACAGATGTGATCTTAAGTGACTGAGACAGCTCAGAGGTTACCGAGGAAGGCCACTGAAATATCACTCAATGCATCCTTGCATTTATAAAAGGCATTTGACCCAGAGATATGGGAGTAATTGATCATGGATCCTACTGCCCCTGGGCAGGAGACATTATTTTGTGGCCGGGAGAAACTGTCACCACAGTTTAAAACAAAAATAAAAAAGCCAAACAGCTTATGGCTCCAAGCAAGTTATAGTTCAAAAGGCACAGTTTGAACTGAGATTACTTCTTGATTCATGACTGAATGTTTCTGAATAAAATACATACAGATTCACAGTAGAACACAAGATAGGAAGTGTCTAATTGACTGGAAGATGCTATGATTTGGGTTGCACACCTGGCCTAGCTTTTAATACTTAATGAAAACCTGAGAACCAACCATCCAACCTCAGAGCAGAAACACATAAGCAGAAAAACACAGCTTTTCCATTAAAAGGTGGCAAAAAGAAATGCTGATGATAGTAGTTGTCCTTGGGAAGGGAAGAGGGAATCAGGAGGAAAGAGGAAGGCTTATTGTATTTCTCCTTTTAGATTTGGATTTTCTGTGTATATTACCACTTTAATCAATGTGATTGTGTGCCGAAAAGGCCACCATTCTCCAGTGCATAATATCAGTATAACTGGATATGGTTTTCCTCCTGAAAGAGAACAAAACCTCTTTTGGCAAGTAGAGAGTAGATGGCACATTCTTTTAACACTATTTGCCAGCTCAAAATTTTTCTGGATATTTGAGCTGTGGGCCACCTTTTCATTACACAACGCTTGTTTAGACTTCTAAATTTTCCATGGGTTGTCCAAACAGGATGCACCTTCCTTTTTTTTTTTTAAGGGAGAGCTGGGGTACTAATGTTTCATAGTTTTGTTGTGGTCTCAATTAATTTGCTTCAGGGCCTGTGTCTGAGTTACTGAAGGAGTTCAATACCGGGCCGGTTGGAAAGTGGCCTTTTGCCGTCGACACAGAGCGTCCCACTCACACTTTTCAGCAGAGCCGACACGGCCGGCAGGACGTTGCAGTCGATCAGCTGCTGGATGTGCTCCTGTGGCCCGGCGGCCACGTTGCTCAGGGTCCAGGCTGCCTCCTTCTGGATGGAGGACTTGGGGCACAGCAGGAGCTGGGGCAGCACGCTCAGTATTCCCGCCTCAATGGCCAGCTGGGTCTGGTGGTCGGTCCCCGTGACGATGTTCCCCACAGTGCGGAGAGAGGGGGTCTGGAAGAACAAGGCCAGAAGTGTAACCGAGTATTGCAAACTTATCACAGTGGAAGTGACAGTCACACAAGATCTGTGCCCTCCCAAACGTTAGTCGTGCTTTGCTGATGGCTCTCTGGAAGCCTGGGGACAACGGTGATACCCATGACCCTTATTCATTTGGCACATGGATGGCTGCTTCTATAGCTTGAAGGTACTTGCCAGCTTCCCAGCAGTGGTGGCTCAAGTGGGATAGAGGTCAAGGGATGCCTGTATCAAGAAATGATGCTCTCCCTTTTATATCCCTACATCGGGGAAACTGCTAAGTTGATTGTAGTGTTTATAACGTAATTATGTCCACTGAATTTATAGTTAGCACCAGGGTCAAGTTTCTGTTGTACACATTATTGGAGCCAGTGAGATCCCAATGGCACTTTTTGATATATTCACAACCCCTTCTCAATAACTCTGACGGTTCCCAGGATGGGTCTATGATTGGGCTCCAGACAACTGGCCTTGGAGGGTTGATTTAGGATTTATTTTGGTTTTCTCGCATTTTAGTGAGAGAGAACAGTTATAGAATTTTCCTAGGCTATTATGCTGGGTATCTGCTACTCAAGTGAGACATAGAAGTAGTGCTATAGGCCAATCACAGCCTTGCCAAGCCTGGCAATTTGCCCCGAAGCTCCCAGGATAAGCGACTTCTTATAGATATTCTCTTTGTATCCGCCATGCTACCAGCATTACCCTCAAACTAACCTTGACATCTGAGGAATACTATGCTAATCTCAAAGCAGATGATCATTAAGGCTGCATAATACATAGTATTAGGCATAGAAATCAGAAGGGGCACCCACCTTTTAAATGACATTTTCAAGAATATTATGTAAGTGACATGTTGGTTTTACTTACTTTCCACTTATATCTGAAATAGTATTAGAGAACAAACTTGGGAGAGGATAAGAGGAATTTTCTTTTATATTTGAGTAAGCAATTCAAATGTTACATGGGCTTTACATTAATACACACACACACACACACACACACACACACACACACACACACTCTGTATCAGCCAACTTGTTAACGTCTACCCACATAGACCACTAGAAGGAAAGTCCACAAAAGGGTAGTTCACTGGGTGAAGGAATCATAGTCAATTTTAATTTGGTGCTCTCTATATTTCTAGTTGTCAGATTAACAAAAAAATATATGTTACTGAATACCCACTAGGATTTTGGGTCAAAACAGATTCAAGTGTTTGGCTAGAGAATATCAGAGACCAGGGAAATGCCTTGTTCTGGGTAAAGGATTAGAGCTGAGTGTGGAAACCAGGGGGTGAGGAAAGAGTAGAACTTGCTAAAGTAAATACGACTCGGAAGGCCCATAGAGAGACAGACAAGACTGGGGCATTTACCAAGATATTGAGTTCTGAGCTGGTCATGAGCTGAACCAGTCTGGGCAGCACCCCCATGTCAACCACTTGGCCAATGCGCTCGATGCAGCTCTCGGTGAGGTAGGACAGAGCCCAGCAGGTGTCAGAGAGCACCTCGTTGTCTTGGTGCTGCAGGAGCTGGGAGAGGACGGGCAACATTTGCTCCACGGCTTTTTTGCAGGGGTACGGGTTGTTTCGGCACAGGTTGGACAGGGTCCATGTGATGTTCCGCAGAAATGTAATCTGTAACAAGAGACTGCTTCTAGCATCAGGTGCAAAGAAGAAAAACTGCAAATGGCAGTGTGTCCTTGCCATCATTGATCACTAGTATTATTGACCAGCATGAACCAAAGAATTTGAGCTGCAAACAACAATTTGTTCTAGGTAGTGATGTATATATAGGGTGTCCTCAAACTTGTATATACACATTTTGAGTAATTATAAAGGCAGTGTTTATGAAAATACATTTCATTTTCAAAATTGAGATATCAGCTGTTGAAGTATCTATACACACACCCTGTATACTAGGGACAGAGAGAATGAGCTTTTTGCTTCCTATTCAAATGTTAGATGGATATTTCCTTACATTTTTCAAAATATCCTTCCCCTCGACTCAACTGATGACCTAATTTCATTTTTCACTGGCAAGACAAAGAGGTTTCTTATTCTTCCCACCAGTCAATAACCAACATGTCATAACCACATTTCCGATCTTCTATTCGAGGATTAGTCTTCCCTACCTTGCCTCTGAATTCCATCACTTTTCACCTTTAAAGATTCTGTCCCCAGCATCACCTCTCTCTCCTGGATCACTCCCCCAGCACAGAACACCCTGTGACCTTCACCCCTTACCCTTGGCACCTCTGCAGCCATCACCTCACTTCTGTTTTCCAGAGTCTATCCTCAAGGAGGCATCTGTGTTCACTCTCTACGGCGTGCTTCCCATCTGCGCTTCTCCTCCTCCTAGTCTGTTTCTGACCCTGCTTCTCTATGGTTGTGACGAAATCATCTTCCAAGTCTCTAACCCCATAGCTGCTTCTTCACTGTCCCTCTCCGTTGTGTTTAGTCGTTTCTGGCATCTGTGACACCAAACCTGGGTGTTAGTTTTTTTTTTTTTTAAATTGCTAAATGGGATGCTTCTCCTCAATTTTGCTGGCCGGTGCTGCCCGACTTCTGAATGTCAGAGACCCTAGAACCCGGTTCTGGACTCTCCTCACACTCCAGGCCAGGGATTGGCAACATTTTCTGTCAAGGGCCAGACAGTAAAGACAGTAAACATTTTCAGCTCTGTGGGCCCAGGGGCTCTGTTACAACTAGTCAACGTGGTACTTGTAACATCATAAGAGACACAGGAAATTGCGTGTGAGTGAATGGGCATGGCTGTGCTCCAGTAAAACTCTATTTACAAAAGCAAGCAGCTGACCCCTGCTCTTGATCTTGCCCAGCTGGATGACATGTGTCTACGAGTATCTAGACCCGCATATCCACCTACCTGACGTTGCTGCAATGGTGCCTCTCAATCACTTTAACTTAATGTGGACAACTAAGACTCTGGTCTTTCTCCCTCCATCGTCCCCATTTCTCTAAGAGGACAGTCATCTAAAATAACCTAACCCTGAACCCAGGGCATCCTTGCTTCTTTCTCTCACTTCCATGTCCAACATAGCAGCATCCCAGGTCCATCTGCTTCACCATCTCCCTGGGCTACGACCCTCCAACAAGCAGCCAGAAAGGTCTTTTCTGAAAGATCGGACCACTTTGTTTCCTGCCTTGAAATCCTCCAAAGGCTCCCCTTTGCCAGCAGGATGATGTCTAGGTCCCTTGCCCTACCTTCATATTGCAATACTTTCTTCTTGCAAATTCCCTTGGTCATGCCAGCCTTTTTTCTGGTTCAACCATGTCAGGCTTTTATCCAACCTTGAGGGCCGAGTGTATATTCCCTCAGTTTTGGAAGCTATTTTCTCTTCATTTAAAAATGATTTTCTATTGATTTTTAGAGAGACAGGAAGGGAGAGGGAGAAAGAAACATCAATGTGAAAGTAGAACATCGGTTGGCTGCCTCCTGCACACCACCACTTGGATAGATGCTTGCAACTCGTGCATGCGTCCTGACCAGGATTCAAACAGCAGCCCTTCAGTGTATGTGATGACACCCAACCAACTGAGCCACACTGGCCAGGGTTTCTCTTCATTTTTGTTTGAGACAAAGTTAAAATCCAAATTTAATTTCTTTCATTGATTTTTTACAGAGAGGAAGGGAAAGGGATAGAGAGTTAAAAACATCGATGAGAGAGAAACATAGATCAGCTGCCTCCTGCACAGCCCCGACTGGGGATGTGCCCACAACCTAGGTACATGCCCTTGACCAGAATCGAACCTGGGACCCTTCAGTCCGCAGGCCGACGCTCTATCCACTGACCCAAACCGGTCAGGGCCAAATATAATTTTTAATCCAGGGACTCCTCTATTGTTGCCACATCAATCCACTTTTTAAAAAAGATTCTCACCTGAGGAAATGTTTATTGATTAGAGAGAGAGGAAGGGAGAGGGAGAGGGAGGGGAAGAGGGGAAAGACAGATTGATATGAGAAATATTGATCCATTGCCTCGTGCATGCGCCCTGACAGTGGATTGAACCTGCAATCTAGGTATGTGCCCTGACCAGGAGTAGAACCCACAACCTTTTTGATATTTGGGACGAGGTTCCAATCAAGTGAGCCACCTGGCCAGGGCACCACATCAATTGACTTTGACTCTAATCTTCAAACCTAAACTTTATTACCTAGGAACAGAATGGTAAGCCACTAATTCAGTTTGTGCTCCTTGAAGAGTAGAGTTTAGTCATCTAATTTTGCAAGATTGTAAACTGATAAAAATCTTAATTTTTTTTCCACTGCTTTCAAAAGAAAGATCAGCACTACTGCCTGCTGAGGACAAATTTGGATTCTTACCCAACATGATATTCAGTTCTAGGCCTTCTTTTTAATCACCATCATAAGGGGCCAGGCATTGATTTGGAAATACTTCCTCAATTTCCCAATTTTGGGAACTTGTTACCAGCTAGGTTTTCTAATTGAAAGACACTCACTGGTGTGGTTGATGATATCAGGGCCAGTAGATGTGGGATGGCATTACTCGAGATAACAGAGTCTCTGAATTCTGCGCCATCACCTACAAATAGATAAGGACAGGACATTCAAAGAGAGAACAAAGAGAATCCTGGGATAGGTGACTAATTTTTCAAAGTCTGTGCAAAGGGTAAGAGGCCATTCCTAGGTTGGGCAAGTAGAGAATGCAGTCATGAACTTGATCCTGAGTCTTTAACTTGTTGGTTGGGTGGCTAGGCCTGGTGTGAAAGCAGGTCCCACACAGCAGCAAATGCCGTAAGTAGTCCGTGGATGCATAAAGAAGCCAGCCAACTGGGCCCAGGCAGTGCTCTCTAAATGCGAATATAATTTCATAGCATGGTTCTCAGGAAGACCAAGGCCATTGCAGACCAAGTTGTCTTCCCAGAAGATTCTGGCATAGGGCAGTAACTTCCAGATGTGACTCAGAACAAAGTTTGGGAGATGCACAGGTGACTGTCGTGACTTTGGCTAGAATACCGTATTTCTGGACCGTAGAAGTCTCAATTTGTAATTCTTTAAACATCAGGCAAGGCATTAGTTATATTATACCACCCAATTTTGCCTGTTCCTTATTGAACCAGTCAAAATGAGAGACAAAGTCTCTGCAATAGGTGCTTTACTTCTGCAAGCATTTCAAAAGCAGATTTTATATTTGGTGCTTGCTAATCCCAATATCTGAAGTCCATGGAGGTGTAATGATAATGATGGTTTCTGCTAACTCAGTCACGGTGGGTTGTTGACTCTCTGAACTTGAAATTGCTAATATTTGGCTGATCTTACTTTGTCAAAATCCCGAGGGACCCAGTTGAGTTAGTTTCCCCCCAAAAGCATTATATTTCTATTCAGCCAGAAATCAGGGAGCTCCCAACTTTGCAGCATTAACTCCCCAGCTTTTGCTTTCCTGGACCTCACAGGGAATACAGTGTCAAGTTCCAAATCTATAAGGCCAATCTTAGGGTGTTTTCAGGGGAAACTTTTACCCCAAACTTTTGTATGTTCCATTGGCAACTTTCTCTAGAGATAGAATTTTTTTTTAGGGTCTGGATTACATAAGTGTTTGCTAAAACCCCCTGCACTGAATAAGCCGAAAATCTTGTCCTTTGTTCCTGAAGCTACTGAGACCTAAGGGTGTAGGACCTGGTATTGGCAGATGTCCCCAGGTAGCCTGTAGCCTCAGGACATACTGCATTATCTTGTTTCAGCTTCAATTTATGACCTTTGAACTTGACTCTGAATTTTGGAAAAGCCTGTTGTACTTTCACCAGCATTTCTAGGCATTTCTACTTAGAGTATCAAGTCCACAATATTCCCCAAAGAACTCCTATAGCATGCCATACGCCTGGCCCACTATTTTCTGAGTCCCCTGAGGGGAGAGTCTCACCTGCTATATTACCAAGGGCCCACACTGCCTGTTCACACACAATTAGGTTGGGGGAAGACAGGAGCTCAACCAAGGGCTTGACGGCGCCCCCTTCCACAACAGCTCGAGTCTGGTCTGAGGTCCCCGAAGCAATGTTGGTCAGAGCCCACGCTGCCTCAAACTGCAAACAGGGATGCAATGATGACGTCAGGAATTCCACCAGCTTTGGAATGATCCCTGCTTCAACAATCCGTTTTAGAGGAGGGTTCTTTTCCCGGGACAGCATTTTCCTTTGCAATGAAAGAGAAAAAAAGGAAAAGCAAGTCACGTGAAGCAGATATGAAGAACCTCCTTTATAGATGTTCCCGGCATTCCTAACTATCGCATGAGACAAACAGCTGGGAAAAGCTATGTGACATCCTAGAGTTTAGCTCATAGCACTTTGCAGTGATGAAGCAACATTTCCCCGTTCAGGTATTATCTACCACGAAGATTCCTGTAGAGGCCAATTTAAATGAAGCAGTTCATCTCTGACAACACTTGTGTATCTTAGGTTGTTCTCAAGGACAGTATAGAGGAGATATTGAGTCTCACTTTTGGATGGACCATCACCTACAAAGCCTTTTCTTACATTCTGTGGGCATTTTTCCAAGAAACCAAACAGGCCATTCGAGCTCATTTCTAACTATGAACCTATAAACAGCAGTGGTCTGGTTGGTGATACCTGGCTGCCTGGGTGGCCTGGAAACATACGATGGGATCTGAGGCATTCACACCACTGATTATTTCTTCCAGCGTGAGCTTGACCTGCAAGGAGACACACATTCAGGTCAGAGTCTCTGCTAAGAGGAACCATGAAGGTCATCTAGTCTAGCCATCTATTTGATTAAAACAGGCTGGCTTTAACAGTAGGTCCCAATCTGCATGCTGGTCTATACTAAGGGAGAGAAGGGTATTTGCTGGTCTCACAGACCTCTGGGATATTCCTCATGCTCTGGGGGTGAGGTGATTCCTATCATCACTTGGATCCCAGAACCTTTTTATAACATGCTAGTGGATGTCTGCAAAAATGACAAAGTAAAGACCTCCAAAAATGGTGTAAGTAGGGGTCAAATTTCATGGCTTTGCATGTGTATATCCAGTTGTCCCCACACCATTTGTTGAAAAGACTATTCTCTCCCCATTGAATGGTCCTAATACCTTGTCAAACTTTGATTGACCATAAATGTGATGGTTTATTGTGGACTCTGCATTCTCTTCCACTGATTTACATGTCTAACATATGTAATAGACGTGATTACTGTAGCTTTGTAGTAGGCAATGGAGTCATAAATATGACATCTAAAGCACATGCAACCTCCCTAGCCAGTTTGGCTCAGTGGATAGAGTGTCGGCCTGAGGACTGAAGGGTCCCAGGTTTGATTTTGGTCAAGGGCACATGTCCGGATTGTGGGCTCAATCCCCAGTAGGGGGCATGCAGGAGGTAGCTAATCAATGATTCTCTCTCATCATTGATGTTTCTACCTCGCCCTCATTCTCCCTCTCTGAAATCAATACAAATACATCAACTAATAGGAATTGTTTAAAAAATAAAGCACATGCAACCAAAGAAAAAAGTAGATAGATTGGAATGTTTCAAAATTAAAAACTTTTATGCTTCAAGGATCCTATCAAAAGTGAAAAGATGACTCATAAAATAGGATGAAATATTTGCAAATCTTATACCTGGTAAGGGTGTAGTATCCAGAATATATAAAGAACTTTTACAACTCAAGAATAAAAGACAAATTACTTGATTTAAAAAAATGGGCAAATGGTTTGAATAGACATTTCTCCAAAGAAAATAAACAAATAGCCAATAAGAACATGAAAAAATGTTCATTAGTCATTAGAAAAACATAAAAATCAGAACAATATAGCCCTTTGCATGCACTTGATGGCTACCATCCCAAAATGGACACTAACAATAGCTGATTAGAATATCAGATTGTACAATGTGCAGCTACTTGGGTAAATAGTGGGCAGCATGTTTCCTATTGCTAATGTAAAAATCGCCACAAATTTAGTGGCTTAAAACAACACAAACTTATTCTCTCACGATTCTGGAGGTCAGAAGTTCATTATCAGTTTCACTGGATTAAAGTCATGGTGATGGCAGGACTGGTTCCTCTGGGAGCCTATGAGGGGAGAATCTATTTTCTTGCTCTTCAGCTTCTAGTAGGGCTGCTGTGTTCCTTGGCTTGTGACTTGTGCCTCCATCTTCAAAGCCTAGCACACCAATCTCTGCTTCTGTCATCATATCACCTTCTGCTCTGACTTGTCTTCATCCTTCGTGTTTTAAGGATTGATGTGATTACATTGGACACACCAGAGAATCAAGGGTAATCTCCCCGTCTCAAGATCCTTAGTTTAATCCTGTCTACAAAGTCCCTTCATCATATAAAGTATGATGGGGATGAGGAGATGGGGGCATTTGGGGGTAGGCATTATTCAGCTTACCACAGGCAGTTCCCCGAAGAGTGAAACATAGAGTGACCATATGGCCCAGTAATTCTTCCCCTGGGTATGTGCCCAAGAGAACTGAAAACCTGTTCACATAAAAACTTGCACACAAATGTTTATAGCAGCACTATTCATAACAGCCAAAATGTGGAAATAGCTCAAATGCCCACCAAGCAATAAATGGATAAACCAAATGTGGTATATCCATCCAATGAAATACTATTCAGCCAGAGAAGGAATGAAGGACTGGCACCTGCTACAACATGGCTGACCCCTGAAGACAGTATGCTAAGTGAAAGAAGCCAGGCATGAAAGGCCACATATCCTATGATTCCATTTATATGAAATACCTAGAATAGGTAAATTCAGAGACAGAAAGATTCCTAGTCACCAGAAACTAGAGGGAAGGAGGATTGAGTGACTGCTTATTGTGTATGGGGTTTCTATTTGAGGTGATGAATATGTTCTGAAATTAGCTAGTGGTGATGGTTGTAGAACCTTGTGAATATATGAAAAAAACACTGATTATATACTTAAAAAAGGTGAATTCCATGGTCCATGAATTATATTTTAGTTTTTTTAAAGGCATAGTAATATAGGATAAAAAGGAAAACAACTCTCTCATTTCATAGTTTCATCTCCTTGGATGGGGGACTCCTGGGGACTATTCTAGATAAATGAAGCTAAGTAGAGATATGGTTCAGAGTCCTATGGCAATTCAGAGAATGGTTGCAGCTCCTCTATTTGATGGCCGGTAACACATCATTGAATCCACTTGCCCAGACTGAACCACTCTGCCTCTAAGAGCCCTAAGCTGAGCAGAGTGCAGTGATGACACACACAGTGGCGGATCATAAAAGGCACGTAGATACAAAGGCATGTAGAAACGACACTATTGGGGTTCTAAGGGAAACCTCCTGGTTAGGGCATTCTGGAAAGATCACAAAAAAACCAGTACTGACCTCAAAGTCAATCAAAGTCAACCCAGGATTTGAAATGTGTGGTTTTTGTTGTTGTTTTTGTTCTTAAATCCTCACCCAAGGATATATTTCCATTGATTTTTAGAGAGCGTGAAAGAGAGAGGGAAAGACTGAGAGAAATATCAATGTGAGAGAAACATATAGATTGGTTGCCTCCTGCACGAGCCCCAACCAGGGCCCGGGCCGGGGAGGAGCCTGCAACTGAAGTATGTGCCCTTGACTGGAATTGAACCCGGGACCTTTTAGTCTACAGGCTGACGCTCTATCCACTGAGCCAAACCAGTAAGGGCTCAACCCAAGATATGTATTGAGCAAGGTTAGGGTGGAAGGAGAAGGGAAGACAGAGGGCAGCATTCAAGTCCTAGGCAAGACTTTACATGTTGAGTAACTAGATGCCTCTGCTGAGAGGTAACCTGCATGACCCCTCATTCCCTGCTTCTGGCTGAGTGACGGCAAGTGAATTTTCAGGTAGAAGCAGCACTTCCCTCCATTAGAATCTAGATCTCAGACTCTCAGCCGCAAAGGTAATGACCCTTAGCTTTCTGACAACACCAGTTTAGCTCTAACCATGATCTCTCCACCCCTTTCCTTCAAGACCCTCAATTAGAGCTTGCAAGTTCTGAACCAAACATTTCAAGCCAGAGTAATTTACCAAGGATGTATTTTATACACAACTGCTCTAAACGCCACATTCCCAACGTACCCCTTTGGTTTCTTCTCCAGAAGCGGAGTCAGAGCAGAGATTGGTGATATTTCTTCTCTTTAAGACCTGCTCATCTTTCTTGGCCTTTCGGAGCTGCACGTTGACTGCTATCCGGTGTTGTCGAATCATCTAGTGAGGGAAAGAAAGAACTGGGGCACTCAGAGCTGGGAAGTCAGGCTGTTACCATGTTAGCCTTTAGGACACACTGAAAGCATCTGATTTCACTTTACAGATTCAGCAGGCTGGAAGAGTTAACATCACAGTTAGTAAATAGCCTCAGCTTGATTGACCTCCTCTGCCGTCTTCTACTACACTGTATCTAAAAGAATAGTCAATCTCCCTCCCACAGTGAAGGGAGATCTCGTATGCCCTTAGCAGACCAGGATTATCAGCTGTAGTGACATCTGAGCAAAGTGTCCCACTGCCCTGAGTCTGAGCATGTCTTCATTGGTGCTGATTAGATTCTGAGGAGCAGGCCTGGGACTCCCAACTATGGGGATCCAGTTGGGCTATGAACAGACTGCCCAGGCCCAGATGTCCCTGGCCATTTCCACTGTTAGGGAATCACTCTCTAGGTCAGTGATGGCAAACCTATGACACTCATTTTTTTGGTCAATTTTTCTTTGTTAAATGGCATTTAAATATATAAAATAAATATCAAAAATATAAGTCTTTGTTTTACTATGGTTGCAAATATCAAGAAATTTCTATATGTGACACGGCACCAGAGTGAAGTTAGGGTTTTTCAAAATGCTGACACGCTGAGCTCAAAAGCCATCACTGCTCTAGGTCATTCAAATATATATTTAAATATATGTTTGTTTTTGATTTAAGAGAGGAAGGGAGAGGGAGAATCATTGATCGGCTGCCTCCTGCACACTCCACACTGAGGACCGAGCCCACACCCGGGCATGTGCCCTAACCAGGAATTGAACTATGATCTCCTGGTTCAAAGGTTGATGCACAACCACTGAGCCATGCCAGCTGAGCTAGGTCATTCAAATCTTAATCCAGTCTCATGAGTTTTACTTGGCCACCAAACTGAGGGAGATTAAAATTTAAAGTAAAAAACAGCCCTTTTCTCATATCAAGAGAAAATCAGGCTTAATAGTATTGAGAATCCTGGAGAAATGATTTAACTTATACAGATGGATGAGTTTTAGGTTGAAGACTTTCTTAATTTAAGAAAATGTACATGTATGTATTAGGTAATCCTTAAACAAGCCTTATAATTCTTGCTGGAGAACAGGGTCCCTGTGGTGTTAGACGACCAGGCAGGAATACCTTCAGGTCCATTGAGTCAATTGTACTGTTGCCCCATCACTAAGTGACCCCTCACTGTGTATTCTCCCTTCTCATCTCTTGGCCCTTCCTGCTGCTTTCCATGTAGAGGGTTCAATTCCTTTGTTCTGATTGGTTTCCTTTAATCTGCACTAATCTTGGAAGCCAGACAGCCATGCTTGTTGGAAAAGGTGTAAGACTGATTTGGCTCTGGATAGTGCCCTAACCAGGTGTCTTCTCCCATCCTCAGCTGCCTGTCAGATTCGTAAGGCATACCCAACCATGTGTGATATCGCAGTGAAAGCACATAGATGTAGGACGCAGAGCTAGAGCCAGAAAACTGAACCTAGAGAAGCTGAATGAGAGTTAGAATTCACACACAGCTCAGGCTCCCTGCCCCAGGCTCTTGTGCTCAGCCCAGCACCTAGAGAGATAGAGACATTGATGAGAGAGAACATCAATTGGCCACCTCCCACATGTGCCCCACTGGGGATCGAGCCCACAAGCCAGGCATGTGCCCTGACTAGGAATCAAACCGGTGACCTCTTGATTCATTGGTTGATACTCACCCACTGAGCAACACCGGCTGGGCCACAAGAAACATTTTGCTATATTTGCTTTGTCACCCCTTTTCCTCACCCTCCACTCTATATCTGATGCATTTCCACCATGTAGTTTTACTGCACTAGTCCTTGATAAAGTGAAGCTGTTGCCTCATACTTACAGATGCATCTTTGCCTCGGTATTTAAATTTTCTCAGCCTGTCTTCTGGAGCTTCACACGACATATTGACTGGAAGAAGTAGACCACCTATAGGTAGGACAGTCACAAAGCGATGTTCAGTATCCAGTGTGTGGTTACCATGCTAAAGCCACCCAGGTTCTAAGCCCTTAAAGGGCTCACAGTGGAATGGAGAGGAATCAGGAAGTCCGCTTCCACAGGCATCACCACACCAGCTCAATAGGTGATGAGCACTGTGGGAGCTCAGAGGGGACCAGTCCTAGGCTGTGTATGGAAGGGAAACCTTTCAGAGGCAGTTTGGCTTGAACTGGGCCCTTGATGGCTAGGATGGATGGAAATAAAGCGCCGAACCCTTCCATGCGGGTGTGCCCAAACTGTCGTATACAGAGTGTATGTGCAGGACAGTAAGGAATCCAGCCAGGCTATGATAGGCAGATGGCCCTCTCCTCCCACACCCAATCCACCAGCTCACTGGATCAGGAAAGTCTCAAGTGTGACCCACTCCTTTTAATTCTTTTGTACACTGCCTCCACCCGAACCAGGCCGCCACCATCTTTCACTTTCACTACGCAACCGCCTCCCAATGATTCTTCCTGCTTCTACCATTGCCTTCTTCTAATCTGTTCTCGACATAGAAACCATGTGATCTTTTAAAGACAAGAATCTGATTATGTAATTTTTCCCACTTAAAAACCTTCTACTGGATGCCCATTGATCATAAAAGAAAACCCAAACTCCCTGTGATGCCCTGAGTGAGCTGGTCCCAGCCCACTCCCTCTCCAACTCTTTCCCGCCCAAGAATCTAAGTATCTCCCACTCAGTCTGTTTTATTTTCTCCATAGCTTTTTACCACCACCCAATATTTTCTTGTTTCTTGTGTATCTGTCTCCCTGTACTCCCAGTGATAATGGGACCATGTGTGTCTTAGGTACAATTTCTCAGGCCCTTCACAATGCATGGCATAGAGTAAGTAGGTACTCACATATTTGTTGGATGAGGGTGGTGGGTCATAGGGTCACAAAGGGAGTTGGTCCTCAATTAGAGGAGGTTATTAAAATCAGGCCCACGTTTGAACTTTCTACAAGGCCGCAGGGAATGACATTTCTTAAAAGTGTGTAATGAATATTGTTTCCAAGTATATAGAATGGGCATGACTACACTATAGAAGAGAGAATAATTTCGATAGGAAAGACTAATTTAGACATATCAATTTGGAAGCGATCGTGTACACAACTTGAAGAATTCCATAAGTGAGTAGAGAAACAAAACTGATGTCTTAAGAAGAGAGATGAACTCTATGTGAGAACAGAACAAGAATTGTGTCTTGGTGACATTATATTAGGGCCCAAGAGAATGAAGAACCAGCAAAAGACCAGGAGAAAGAATGGACTTGGAGACGGAACAACAGAATATAGTTTCAGAACTATAGGCACTACTGGTAATAGCTGGCTACCAAGCCAGGGACAAGTCCCAAGACCAAAGCACCACCAGCCAGCCACAGCAAGATAGGAGACATGTTGACTGAAGCTTTGTTGTGGTGCCTGTACCTGTTTTAAAGCATTAGCCTCTTTAGGAGCGTGGGCAAGAATAGCCTACAATTTGTCTGCAAATCTGCAAATGAAAAATGCAGATTGCTTCTTGGAGTTGACCAATCCCTCCCACACTGCCCAGCACAGGAGCTGTGATACAACCATTCAAAGGGACATTAAGGAAGCTCTCAACTATTCTGTTGACAGGGTCATGTTGGCAACTTCCCCAACCCCCACCTCCCATGTGAGGTAGAGGGGCCTCTGTGACGCCCATAGTCCTTCAGTTGCTGTATATTAGCAGGAGAAGCACCTCACAGAAATTGGCTTAAGTCAATATCAGGCTTTAGGTTAAGTCAATTAAAAGTTCAAGCAGGCGGTACCTTTACCTGTATTGTCCTCAATCTCAGCCCTGCAAGCTCAGGCCAGAGAGTAACCATGTCCTATCCTCCCATCTACTTTTTTAAAAATGTTAATCCTCACATAAGGATATTTTTTTCCATTGCTTTTCAGAGAGAGTGGAAAAGAGGGAATAAGGGGGGAGAGGAAAACATCGATGTGAGAGAGACACATCAATTGGTTGCCTTCCACATGCACCCCCACCAGGGCCAGGGATTCAACCCACAAATCAGGTACACGCCCTTGACTGGGAATCGAACCCACAAACCTTCAGTACATGGACTGATGCTCTATCCACTGAGCAACTCTGGCCAGGGCTCTCATCTACTCTCAAGTAATCTCATAAAGAAAAGAGTTTCTTTTTATGACTGCAAGGTAAGTCATTGCTACCTTTAAAACACCATCTCAAAAAAGTTTTCTAGTTGTTGTAATATCCAGTTTGAAGAGGATTATTAAAAGGAAACTGAGATTTAGATTTAAGGAGAAGCTATATCCTACATCTCCAAGACAGAAGACATATGGCATTTTATAAGTCTGGAGTACACTAGTATTATGGGCCCATTTCAGGGAGCAATGGCCCAAACACATGGATTACATGCCAGGAGTGTTGGACACGTAGGATTAAATGAAGCAACATTAACAGTAAGGTAGAGACAGTTCCATTTTGCAGGTGGGGAAACCATCTCAGTCATGATTTCCCACAGACACCCAGAGTTCCTCTAGCTGTTATACATCAGGGCCAGGACTTCATCCTAGATCTGTCTGATTCCTGCATCAATGCTTTGGATCACTAAGCAAACGATCTGTAAAAAAGGTCCGATTAGGAAAACACCGAGTCACCACCATGGCACTTAATGTGTAAGACGAGCAGTTGGAAAATAGAAGAGCACATGTTTTAGGCAATGGAAACAGTGGAGGTCACCTCCAAAATACTTGGCTATGTGTAGCCACCTCATTGCTGCTCACCCACTGTAAGTGACCCAACCAGCTCAGTTCATGGGGCTGTCTGAATGCACATAAGTAAGAGGCCAGTTTGGTGTCAGGAGATAAAATGCTTTTGCTTCTGAGGAGGCCCAAGGCAGTGCCTAACTCCAGGACCATTCATCCTTCTGCCACATTCCAGGACGTATAGCCATAAGGAGCTTTGGAAGTGGATCCAGGGGTTCAGATGGCTGACACATT